TGCACAAAAGCTGGGCGAAGCATGCAAAGTCACCAGCAGAGAGCAGCCATGCGGCAGAGGTTGCTGCCCCGAACACTGGAGCACTTCAGTTGCAACGAAGCAGTGTGGTTCTGCGGCCTCTAGTCGTACACACTCACCTCGTCCTATTGGTCCCAGGCTCTGCGGAAGTTCTTGCCGAAGGAGCTGCGATCAGCTCACTTCTGGAATGGAACGTTTCCAGCAACTCGCAAACCCCCAACTAGACCCGCAACTACCCGCCCTGCAAAACTAAACCTGAAACTTCTTCTGCCACTCCAGGCTTACGAAGGGAGAGCCCTAAACCCAAACCCCAAAACCCAGGCCCCAACCCAGGGCTCCTAACCCCCTAACCCCCCTCACTACGTTTCGTGGCGGACAGGGCTCAGGAGACTTGTCAGCTCCAGCGCACTCAAACTGCTACTAGGTAGGGTTTAGGGGTTTAGGTTTAGGGTTTAGGGGTCTACGGGGTTTAGGGTCTAGGGGTTTAGGGTTTAGGGGTTTAGGGTTTAGGGGTCTAAGGGGTTTAGGGTCTAGGGGTTTAGGGTTTAGGGTTTAGGGGTTTAGGGTTTAGAGAGACCCCTGAAAGGAGACCGACCCTTCTTGACCCTACTTATGGCGCTCTTAAAAGGGACCTTATTGAGAGGGTTTACATCACCAAAGGCTCCCCCTAATCCTAAGTTCCAGCTGCAGTCACGGAACCCTTGTGCGGTTTAGGGGGTCTGCAACCATAGAGCCCCTATGCCTTTTTGCAACCTATCATATGTAAGCCCGAGACACCCTCGAACTGCGTATAGAACCCTTGTGCCGTGTATAGCTTCTGGACCAGTTTCCAGAAAAAGAAGCTGCAGCGATAGAACGTGTATAAACCCTGAACCCTAAACCCTCACTGGGACGCCCCATTTTCAAGGACACAGCTCTCCAAGTTCAGGTTTCAGGTAAGCTACCTATAGAACCCAGTACCTCTTCTTGTAGTTTTTAAGAACTAGGAGTCCCTGAACCCTAAACCCCTCACCTTGAAATCCTCAAACCCTTAAAGCCCTCAAGCCCCTCAAACCCTCTAAGCCTTTAAACAACAACTCTGAAACCGCAGTTGGCCACCCTAAAACATGGAACCCTAAAACCCTTAAGCCCTAACCGCCCAAACCCTGAAACCCCCAAACCCTACAACCCTTAAGCCCTAAACCGCCTAAACCCTCAACCCTAAAACCCCTAAACCGCCTAAACCCTTAAACCCTAAACCCGCAAACACCTAACCGCCTAAAGTCTAACACCCTTAAGCCCCTAAACCGCCTAAACCCTAGAACCCTAAACCCTTAAACCCCTAAACCCCCAAACCCTAAAACCCTTAAGCCCCTAAACCCCCAAACCCTAAAAACCCTAAACAACCGCCTAAGGCGCCTAAACCCCTAAGCCCCTAAACCTTCTAAGACCCTTAAACCCTAAACCGCCTAAACAACCCAAAACCCTAAAACCCTTAAATCCCTAAACCCCCAAACCCTATAAACCCTAAACCGCCTAAATCCCTTAAGCCCTAAGACCCCGAAGCCCTAAAACCCTTAAACCGCCTAAACCGCCTAAAACCCTAAAAGCCCTCAATTAAACCCCTAAACCCCCAAACCCTAAAACCTTAAACCCTAAAACCTTAAACTCTATATGACCCCGAAGCCCTAAAACCCGGAAGCCCTTAAACCCTAAACCGCCTAAAACCCCTAAGCCCTAACCCTAAAACCCTAAACCGCCTAAAACCCTTAAACCCCTAAACCCCCAAACCCTAAAACCACTAAAACGCCCAAAACCCCTTAAAACTCTGAAGACCCCGAGGCCCTTAAACCCTAGCACCTAAACCCTAAACCGCCTAAAACCCTTGTGACCTCGAAGCCCTGGCTCGCAGTTGGCCAGCGGTACGTCTTCGGACCTTGGCCTCTGGTCCCCGGAGCAGAAGTCGGTCTCCAAGCGCAAGGCCGGGGACGCTTTCCTGAGTCCGCTTTTTTGGGCTTAGGGTTTTAGGGTTTAGGGCTTAGGGCTTTAGAGTTCAGGGTTCAGGGCTTTAGGGTTGTTTACTCAATTTTTTGTTTTGGAGTTTTGCTTTTTGGGGTTTTAGGGTTTCGGGTTTTGGGCTTATAAGGTTTTCAAGGACTCTTTCCGGTGGCATTTTAGGCGTTGGGGTTTAGGGTGTTCACGGACTCTTTCCTGTGTTTCTTTTGGGGTTAAGGGTTTTCGGAACTCTTGGTTGGGGGCATTTGTAGCGTAGGGGCCTTAATATCCCGTAGTCAGAATTGGATTCCTTTAACGGGCTCCTCCAAAGGGGGTTCCTACAAGGCTTGCTTGCACCCTGACCCTGACTGGGTTGGGAAGCTTTTATGAGTGTAGTTGACGGAGTTATCACTCTGCTTGCTAAGTCCCAGGGTCCTGTGAGTGCATTCCCAAATCTGACATTCGGACCATAGCACCCTACGTAACTTTAGTAATCGCATAGTGAGTGAGCAGATAACATGTCCATTTTCTTATCTAGCCCCCCCCCCCCNNCCCCCTCCTGCAGGCCGACACAGTTTCCCTCAGTCCGGGATCCCAAGCCTCCGGTTTGGGGCCGACGCAGCCTCTTAGTTGAGGGTTCGAAATTCTACGGTCAAGCGCACTTCAGCCCTACTCCAAACTGTTAAAGTTAGAGGTTTTCCGCTTCCAAAGTGGGTTTTTGGTTCTGAATCTTGCTTGTCTGTGTCTGTTTTCCTTCTGGCATCCCTAAACTTTAAACCGAATCCAGAAACCATGAACCCGAAACCCTAAAAACTTGAAACCCTGAACCATGTTTTCGCGGGCCGCGCGATGGCGGGAGCCCCTTGTGGACTTGTGGATCCTGGCCCGACCAGCTATGTGTTGCCCTTTGGTGCAGCCTACACCTTCAGCGTAGCCTGGCATCCCACAAAGAAGCAACAAGCTCGCTGCAGGGGTGCCGGAAAGGATTGGCTTCTGGATGGTGCGCGGCGGGCACCTGCTGGCGATGTGGAGGACCCGAAAGCATCGACCCCCCTGGGCCGTGGGGGTCTCGGCTTTGTTGTACGCGGTAGCTTCAGCGGCTCATTGGCAGCAATCTAGCGTTCGAGTTGCCCGATTTCGGACGCTGAGTTGCAGAGGGAAGCTCAGTTTCTGAAGAAGCTGGGCCCTCACCCGCACATGGAGCGGTTGCTATACTTTCCTGAAAACTGGGACCCGGCAGGATCGGGGCAGAACAGGCCGGAGATGGTCATGGAACTCCTCGGCCCCAAGCTCGAGCAAGTCATGAAGATGAAGCAAGTGCGCATGCGCGACGTTTTGTGCGTGGCAAGTTCTGTTTTCGCTGGCTTAAGCCGCTGTGAGCAGTGCCTCATCGCACACACAAATGTGAAGCCTGCCAATCTTTGTGTCCGGCCCGATCATTGATTTTGACGCAGCGGAGCAGCTGCAGGCACCAGGTGTTGAACCGCCTGGGTGGCACTGGGTGGCAGTGTCGCTAACATGCTTCTTAGTTGGCATTTTCAATCTGGGTCGACAAATGCCCTCAAAGCGGACGTTTTATCGGCCGGTCAAGTTCTCTGCGGGCTGCGACAGCTGCCTGCTCAGGCCCCTGACAGAATGCTCAACGAGTTGTTTTGTCACCGATTGAAGGCGATCGGCCATGGGCATCGGAGGCAGTCTTCGAGCTCAGCGCAAGCTGCAGTTGCTAGCCAAAAGAAGCGAAACCATGCCCAGCACCGCTCACGGTGTTCCGGGCTTTATGTTCTAATCTGTAAGGTTGAGGCTTTCGGCGTAGTTCTTTAGGGCTTGAGCTGCAAGACGTAGATCTTAGGGCTGAGGGTTCACTTCGACTCCGGATTGTGAGCCCCCTTGACAGCAAGACACGTTCTTCTACCAATACCTGCTTCCTGAGGAAAACAATTTCAACAACGTTTTGAAAAGTTCTTTTAAACCGACATAGACGCCAAAGCTGAAGCCCGAAAGTTTTGACTGAATTGAAAGGATTAGGGAATGTCCATAACCGTACGAAACAGCAAAACGGTACTCAACACATAGGCCAACCCTAAACAAATACACGAAGAAACAAAGACAGCCTTGAACACAAACAAAATCAGAAAACAACATACGAAAAGTAAGTGAGCAAAGAAATCAGACCTTGAACTAATCAAACAAATAAGGCCTATCTGAACCATTAACATAATACTTGATACTAACAATTCTGACCTATCTTGTTTGTTTTTCTCCATTGTGCAAATATTCTGTGACCAGTTGCTTTCCTTTTCTTTGCCTTTGGTTTCCTTTTCGTAAAGATTTTACCTTCATCTCCGACATCTATTTCGGGATAAACGTGGTTCTTCTTTCGCTTCACCGCTAAGTTTTGCTTCGCCTTCAATGTGTTACCGGATTTTCGGTATGAAGGCGTGGGCGGAATGCTTCATCCGATTATTGGTAGAACACTATTGAACAAAGCTGATGTTTCCTAATGGGTCAAACAAGCATAACATTATTATTAAGATACTGTTATTTTTTTGTGATCATACTAAACCCTAAAATATAGCTGGGGACAACCTTAACCCAACACCTTACTCCTAGTACAGATATTTTAATTAAGATGACAATTTCCATTCTCAATATTGGGGATTACGGGGTCGGTAGTATGGGTTTTCTTTGGGGGATGTTGGTATATGGGTGGTTCTTTCACATGATTTTCATCGTGTCATGTGGGTCTTACTATGGGTATTTTGGTGGTTTGGGGTTCAGGAATAAGTTGTTATTACTATGGTTTGGGTCTCCTGGTGGCCTATGGTGTGGTGCATGGTTAAACCCCTTTATTAAGTAATGAAGGTGAATTGGAAGACTCTCCTCATAACCCAAAACCCTATTTAAACTTACTCCCTAAACGCCTACGAACCTAAACCCTGGTTAAAGCCTACTCCCTGAACCCAAGGCTCTTACTGTATCCCCTCAAGGTGAACTCGAAGATCCTTTCGATGTCCTGGACCAACGATGGCCTTCACATCGCCCTGGGCCTCTTCAGCGGCCTTGCCCCCCAGATGTTCAGCCACGAACGCTGTTTCCAATATTGGGGACACAAGACTTCGAACAGGGGTTTACAGCGCTCTACACAGTTTCATGCAGGGGCCTGAACGATCTTCGCAACAAGGGGCCTTAACTATTGGAACAGGGGTTTCGTATGGTCTCTCTTGGGGTCTCTCTAGGGGTTAGGATTTCGGTTTACGGTTTACAGCTTTCCAACATACCGTGCAGCCTTTGAAACATAGACGCCTTCATGAAGCAGTGTTTCATGGGCTGCATGTTGCGTTTTTACGGGTTTAATGTCAGATAAGCACGCAGGGACTGTATGGGGAGGGGGGGGGGGTGTACTGTTTCCGATGAGACTGAGATCTAAAATGCAAGTGTTGGCTTTGGCGCTGAATGACACCCACAACATCAAGCCAGCTACTTCAGAGGCAGTCTGTCGATGCGTGCGATAAACGTCTTTTGGACTTCCCCAGAACCCCTAAACCCTCAGCCCTAAACCCTACGTCAGCAGAGCTTCGGGAATGGTACAGACAGCAAGCGTTTGTTCACAGTCCCGTCGCATCCTGTCTTTGCGGCTTGGCCTTCTGGTTCCGGGCTTGTTGTATGTGGATGTACTAAAATATACTGAAATATGCTATAGTATGCGACAACATATCTAAAACATTATACTATAATAGACTACAATAAGTCTTCTGGACCTGCCTGTGTAGGTTCAGGGCTTCAGGGTCTCAGGTTTCGCTTTAGTTTCAGGGGCAAGGCCTGCCTTTCTATACCAGGGGTTATAGGGTTTGGGGGTTTAGAGGTTAAGGCTTACTACCTGGCTTGGTCCAAAACTGAGGCCATGTGAGCATTAGAGACAAGTTCGGCGAGGACTGCAGGGTTGCGGCTTTTGGGCAATGCGGCAAGAAACTCACACGAGCCTGCAAGTCGTAGGTCCGAACTGAGTTAGGTAGCTCATCGATGTTAGATAAAGTTTGATGCAGCTAATCGTCTGCTTTGTTACTTGCTTTGTGGCCGCAGGAGAAGGCAGACATCGTTCGGCAAGCTCCGATTTGGACGTTGGCGTGCCATGCTCAGAGTTTCTGCAGCAGGCCTCCTAGCAAATAGTTTTAGCTGTGAGTCTCGGAACTCGAGAGCAGTTTCAGCTCCTAAGCTAAGGGCTGACCAACCCAACATAACCCAATATTGCGTATTCACCCCAAGACTTGACATGGTAGTGTCAGGGTGTGTTCTGCGCTCCCCCGAAGCGACCCCATGAATCCCAAGACCTACCTTGGACCACCAAAACCTGTTTTGTGTTTTGGTAGGCTCTCTCAAAATAAGATCCAGATTGAGAATTTGCAGTGAGAATTCCAATAAGGTATGTATGTACGTATATATATATATATGTATATGTATGTATATATATATATGTATATATATATATATCTGTGTGTGTGTGTAGGTTGTGGTGGTTCCTGACAACTTGGCTCTCTTCTGGGTGGCTGCAAGTTGCTCTGTGGCTTCTGTCAGCAAGGTAAATATCAGGGTGAACGATTCTACGGTAGATCAAAGTTTGTTGTACTATGTGTTACTCTATTGCAGCCCAAATTACCTATAGTCTCCGTTGTAGTTCCTTTTTGGGGATTCCCTTGTAAAATCCTTAAGATATAAATGGTTAAACCAAGAAAAGGAACTACAATGGAGACTACAGGTATATTCCCTAAACCCTAAACCCAAATTCTAGACCATTAAAGTTCGCTGAAAAATTCCGAAGGTGGAATCCCGTGCAGACCAAGCAAGACCCGACTGACGTGCTGGTCGTGGGATGCTGGGACCAGACGCTGTCCTTCTACAAGGCAGGGCTTTGGGGCTTTAGGGCTGTTTAGGGTTTAGTAGGGTTTAGGGTTTAGGGGTTTAGGGTCTAGGGCTTTAGATTTAGGGTTTACAATCCTCTCGCGCTTTCCAAGAGTCTATGGGCGAAAAATGAGACGCACGTGTCTCAGCATCTTACTATTGCATTATGATCCTTTCTGAAATTCCCAGATCTTGCTCAAGGGTCTGGGGACTTTTAGGGTGTAGGGTTTAGAACTTAGTAGTTTAGTAGATGAAAAATTCTGAACCCATGCAAATCCTGTATATAAGCACTCAGCCCTGAACCCCTAAACCCCAGACTCTAACCCTAAGCTCTAAACCCCGGAAATCTCGGACCCTGAACTCTAAAACCCTAAGCCCTAAACCCTAAACTCTAAACCCTAAGCCCTAAACCCCTGATTCCTCGTACCATAACCTCTAAATTCTGAGCCCTAAACCCTTGAAATCTCGGCCTTACGGCCCTAAGGCTTATCAGCTCTGTCATATCTAGGACATGTAAAGTCAGGGGATCCTTGTCTGACCCCGTTCGGCCTGGCCCCGTTGAAGATGTACAAAGTACTAACAGGATGGCCATTATGATGCATTCAGTGGCCCAGTATACGAATGAAACCGGATATCCTGAAATCCAAGACCCCTTAAACTCACATGCCACACCAGCCTCAGCCTCAATGCTCAAGGAAACCCTTAAATCTCACCCCCTGAAGCCCTGAAATCTTAGACACCTTCAACCTCTAAACCCTCAACCCCTTAACTTAGCTAGCTAAACTAGCTTCCATCCTGAATCCAAAGCAGTGTTTGGCGAGGTGGTACCGGGGGCTGGGACGGAATGAACATGTTTTGGACATGGTGGACCTTTGGGTGTAGGGCTGGGGTCGCACGGTCCCCGGACCAGGGGAGGGCTCAGACCTGGATCAAGGGTGCGTTTAGGTCTGTAGTTCTCGGCTTTTTGTCCAGGCAGAGGGGAAGGCCGAGAGGGTTTTAGAGCGGTTTAGAGAGGTTTAGAGAAACTGGGTCACATCCCCGATCCCTTGGTATTTGCGAGGGATCGGGGGCGTGACCCTGTTTCTCTAAACCTCTCTAAACCGCTCTAAATCCCTCTCGGCCCTCTCCTGTATGACCCTGCAAAGAGCCAGGAACTACAGACTTAAACGAAGCTCTGAACCGTCTGAGCCGGTCAGGTTGCAATTATTCCCGATTGCCGGTACCTTATGCTAGCTAGGGGACCAGCGTGCGGCGCTCACCGTATGCAGCTGACATGACTCATGAACGAGGGTGCCGGACTGTATGTCGATCTGCCCTGTGGCTGTGCTCAGTACTCACACTGGGGCAAGGCTAAGAAGCCCAACCGCACTAGTCCGTGGTGTGTGTTCTTGGGTTTTGGGATGATCTGTAATCTGACCCCACGCAGGCCAACCGGGGCACGGATCAATGTTAATCTTGTGCCTTCCCCGGCTTCGTGCACTATGAATTTGCCACGCGGGGCAAACATAGATCCGAAGCTTGAACACGATTCGGCGGTGCAAGCTTTTCTCAAACTGTTCGGGATTGGGGTTCGAGGGAGTTAGAGTGATTTAGAGTGATTTAGAGTGATTTAGA